CTCTCGTTACAGCGAAGCCAGTTTAAATGTTCTGACTTGGCTTTACTTAGCTGACTTTCGTTACAGCGAAGCCAGTTTATATGCTCCGACTTGGCATTAGATAATGATTACCGCTGTGCGCTCTTAATGCGTCTGTATGTATCTTAATGCGTCTGTATGTATATTGCTTACCACTGTGCGCTCTTAAGGCGTCTGTATAATGCGTCTGTATATGCAATGCGTCTGTATGTATATTGCTTACCGCTATGAGCTCTAACGCGTCTGTATGTATAATGCGTCTGTATGTATAATGCGTCTGTATGTATAATGCTTACCGCTATGTGCCCGTAATGCATCATTTGCCTCTCTAAGCGCGGCTAGTTCTCGGCGCATTCTCGCTCGTTCACTATGCAATGCGGGTAACGCTCGTAACAGACCGCCGAGAGAATTCTGCAGTCCTTATAAAGCTGACAATTGTAATTTACTTACTAATACACATCCTGAAACGCGGTATCAAAGTGTTTCCGCCGATCGCTATATATACAACTTCCAAAACATGTCAGATTGGACCAGGCGGGAAGCTACCATTTTCCTTCCTCTGTCGTCACTCGGCCAACTGGCATCATCACTCTTTTTAAACTACTTTTCCTGAAAACTTCTATAATACTTACCACTATGCGCCCGTAAAGCGTCGTTCTGTTCTCTAAGCGCAGCTAGTTCCCGTCGCATTCTCGCTCGTTCACTGTGCAAGGCGGGTAACGCTCGTAACAGACCGCCGAGAGAGTTCTGGAGGCCGCAAGTCACTTTGACAAGACTAAAGACTACTCGAAGCCAGTTTATGACTTGTCATTCTATAATGCTTACGTGTGGTGCCGGCAGATTAGAATAGCACCACCTCTTCTCTTCCCGAGGGATGTACCTTACCCAAACAGCCAGGGCCAACCGTATGGTGGCGGTTAATCCACCACAAAAGCGGAGGGTTGACGTCTGGTAGGCGGCCGGTCGTAAAATTAAGCCAAATCCTTTTGCAACACGACTTTGTGTTCAACGAAACGTGTTGCGCCGACCCCAAGTAATTGGGATAAGGGCAGGAAAATGATGATTCTATAATGCTCACCACTATGAGCTCTTAAAGCGTCGTTCTGTTCTCTAAGCGCGGCTAGTTCTCGTCGCATTCTCGCCCGTTCATTATGTAATGCGGGTAGCGCTCGTAACAGACCGCCGAGAGAGTTCTGGAGTCCGCAAGTCACGTTGACGAGGCGGGTCGCTAGCGCTGCGGCGGAAGCGTTGCTTTCTGTGGGGGAAATTGTAGAAATAACATTATCATTCAACATTTGAAATAAATGAAATATGTGAAAAATGCTTAAAAACAAACTTTTGCAAGTTTTCTTTAATTCTATTAATTTACCCAAAACAAACAAGTGTTTAAACTCTTTTGATATTCAACAACTTATTTAAAAATTACGGCACACACAGTACTAGATGTTTTTTCGTCACTAGAAAAATTGCCCCCACTCCCAACCTCACATGATTCAGTACTTACTGCCCGTTATAGTCCCACAGTCCCGCCTGTTACATTTACTGTATGTTAGTTATGTTTCAAACTAAAAATAAAAATATGGGTCACTCTGACCCCCTACCTCTCTGAGTCCGACCCCGTCATACCGAATAATTTTTATATTTCTTTTATTTAAATATTGCATTTTTTTTTTTGCACGAAGTAATATAAGAAGGAACCTTAGAAAAGGTTCACATGCTGGAAAAATGCCTTATTCCCGCGGGCAGATGAGTTGCAGCGAGTGAAACCGGTAACGGCCGGTACTATTCAATAAGTAAGTATAACAGTATGAAAGCATCGTCCGCGCTCGCTTCCGCATCCGCTTCTATACCGTCGTCGGTTTTGTGCTCGATATCGGTCGTATTTATCTATATCTACTAACTAATCTAATGTAATCTTATCCTTAGAGTATATATAAGCAAGCTATAGAGTGCGCATTAGGCTCCGCGGCGTACTGTCAAAGCGTAAGCAGTAGCTCCCTAGATACAGACGTCAAATGTATGGGAAATTATAGAGGTTCAGTAGTGTTGTCACTGTCGTTTTGCTACTGACAGACAGAGAGGTGGCGCCCAGACTACTGACGTCAGTTCTAACTTTTTAGGCTCACTCTATAGCTTGCTTATGTATACTCTAAGATATCTATTCGCTAATCTTATCTTATTTAATCATACCTAATGCATCGTCCGCGCTCGCTTCGCTAGCTGGTCTCGGTAGTTCCGCTAGTCTCGCTTCCGCATCCGCTTCTATACCGTCGTCGGTTTTGTGCTCCGCATCGGTCGTATTTATCTACAGGGTGTTAATTTAAATGCGTGCCATAGCTTCAGGGTAGGTATAGTATCGATAAAGGATGCCGTAAAAAATATTGAAAAAAATCCCAGTCACAAATTTTTTTTTTACTTGGCTGACATTTGATTCAAATGTCTATATCTCAGCCGAAATTCGTTCAATCTCAAAGTTATTTAAACGAAAGTACTTGTATGGGCACTCTCTAAACAACAACAGTGTCAAAAAATGACAAAAAAATAATTTTTGGCTTGGATTTTTTCAATATTTTTACGGCATCTTTTATCGATACTAAACCTACCCTGAAACTTATAGCACGCATTATATAACCACCCTGATAAAATGTGGGTCACATTGACCCCCCCATCTGCACCTCCCTGAATAAGGATCTGTCATTCCAAATAATTTTATCTTTAAATTTATCTACATCTATTATCTAATCTAATCTTATCTAATCATACCTAAAGCATCGTCCGCGCTCGCTTCGCTAGCTGGTCTCGGTAGTTCCGCTAGTCTCGCTTCCGCATCCGCTTCTATACCGTCGTCGTATTTATCTATATCTACTAACTAATCTAATCTAATCTTATCTAATCATACCTAAAGCATCGTCCGCGCTCGCTTCGCTAGCTGGTCTCGGTAGTTCCGCTAGCCTCGCTTCCGCATCCGCTTCTATACCGTCGTCGGTTTTGTGCTCGGAATCGTTTGTATTTATCTATATCTACTAACTAATCTAATCTAATCTATACTATAATACGATACTATAACAGCCACAACAGTCCACTGCTGGACATGGGCCTTCCCCAATTGGGAGGTACTGCCATACTCACCACGTTTGGCAGGCGGATTGGCGAGCGCAGTGCAAGATGTTTAATTCACAGGGAACACTGCTGCCCATTCCCTGGACAATTATCCCTTAGTCGCTTTTTACGACACCCACGGGTAGAATTGGGGTGATGCTATTCTAAGCCGGCATCACACGGCTACGAGGTATACGTATTTTAATCAAATGACAGCCATGTAAAAGAGGTTGTGACTGGGTTTATTTTCATAATTGTTACGGCATCCTCTATCGATACTTAACCGACCCTGAAGCTATGGCACGCATTCAAATTAACACCCTGTATATCTATTAACTAATCCAATCTAATCTTATTTAATCATACCTAATGCATCGTCCGCGCTCGATTCGCTAGCTGGTCTCGGTAGTTCCGCTAGTCTCGCTTCCGCATCCGCTTCTATACCGTCGTCGTATTTATCTATATCTATTAACTAATCCAATCTAATCTTATTTAATCATACCTAATGCATCGTCCGCGCTCGATTCGCTAGCTGGTCTCGGTAGTTCCGCTAGTCTCGCTTCCGCATCCGCTTCTATACCGTCGTCGGTTTTGTGCTCGGAATCGTTTGTATTTATCTATATCTACTAACTCATCTAATCTTAGAGTATATATAAGCAAGCTATAGAGTGCGCCTAAAAAGATACAACTGACGTCAGTAGTCTGGGTGCCACCTCTCTGTCTGTCAGTAGCAAAACGACAGTGACAGCACTACTGAACATCTATAACTTCTCATACATTTGACGTCTGTATCTAGGGAGCAACTGCTTACGCTTTGACAGTACGCCGCGGGGCCTAATGCGCGCTCTATAGCTTGCTTATATATACTCTAAGAATCTAATCTTATCTTATCTAATCATACCTAAAGCATCCTCCGCGCTCGCTTCGCTAACTGGTCTCGGCGCTACTTCCGCTAGTCTCGCTTCCGCATCCGCTTCTATACCGTCGTCGGTTTTGTGCTCGGAATCGTTTGTATTTATCTATATCTACAAACTAATCTAATCTTATGGTTATTACTTACGGCCGTGTGGTGCCGGCAAAGTAGAATAGCACCACCCCCTCTCTTCCCGTGGGGGTCGTAAGAGGCGACGGAGGGATAAACCGTATGGTGGTGGTTAATCCACCACAAAAGCATTCCCAAGGAGGGTTGACGTCTGGTAGGTGGCCGGTCGTAAAATTAAGCCAAATCCTTTTGCAACACGATTTTGTGTTCAACGAAACGTGTTGCGCCGACCCCAAGTAATTGGGACAAGGGCAGGAAGATGATGATTAATTATGACTATAAATAAATCATACCTAAAGCATCGTCCGCGCTCGCTTCGCTAGCTGGTCTCGGTACTTCCGCTAGTCTCGCTTCCGCTTCCGCTTCTATACCGTCGTCGGTTTTGTGCTCGGGATCGGTCGTGTCTGCGGAAAAAAACACATCGTTTTTAAAATTGAAACACTATAAAATTCTAAGTTACTTATGTGTTGGGATTTTTAATACACTTACAGTGCTATATTATTTTCATAATTATTTACTTTTTATTTAAACCACTTATACACACAGCAAAGGAATAAGCTAAACAGCGCTACTCCAAAGGAATTGAAATATTGTATTCTCCAATAAAAATCAATCTGTTATGAAAATAGAATTATGTGGAGGGAGTATTTTTTTACTAGAATCAATTTTAAAAATTATAATAATTTTAATGGAAATAAAAATATTTTCAGTCGGTTCAACTACCCCTGTGTGGCTTACTCATAATGTGACTGTACTTGTTTCACTTTCGGGATGACCCGACCGGTTGCGCTGCTCTCTTTTATTTTGATAAATTAAATATCAGAAAATTTTAAAGTTCATTAGCGACCGCCGGCATTTGAATCCGAAACCGTGGGGTACCGTACCACCGCTCTGCCAACTGAGCTACGGGCGCCTGGCGGACCCTGACGAATTTCTCAACCTCTTGATGCTCGTAGCGACGATAAAGCGACATCTTGTAATAGTTTTTGCAACTTAATACTTTGGTTGGTCAAGTCCACATTATAGTAGGAATTCAAACCTTACGATGAAGCTTTTTTGCTTAAACCAATGTTTTTTTTTCTGAGTTACTTTTTCTATCAAGAAATGTACATTTTGTAAATATTAAAGAAGTCAAGATAGCGAGATAGTCTATCAAGATAGCGCCTTCAATGAAAGAAATACATACCGATTCTTTGAAAACGGCGCCTTGAACGAAAGTAATACATACCGCTTGTATCTCTAGTGTGGCTGCGGCCCCTGTGTTTCCGACAGCTGTCACATCTGCCCCGCGACCTGGCCGCCACCGTTCCTGCCTCGTTCACAGTTAAGGCTTTCGTCAGCGCCTCGGTCAGTTGGTTCGCTGGAAAGAAAAAATGACATAAATTGAAAATGGGAAAATAGAAAAAATCATTAGAGACCGTCGGGACTTGAACCCGGGACCGTGGAGTTCCGTCCCATCGCTCTGCTAACTGAGCCACGGGCGCCTGGCGGACACTGATGAATTTATGAGAATAATATAGCACTGTGAGTGCATTATAAAATCCCAATACGTAAGAAGAACATTTTATTGAATATCCAGAAACGAAGCGGGCAAATAAGTAAGTAAATAACTGAGGGTGAAACCAATGGGTGGGCAACTAGTCGATTTTAAAGTTCAACTTTTACTAAAACGTATGAAATTTAACTCGGAATCGGCTGGTGTTGAGGAATAACTTTCCCCAAGAAACATAAATCGAAATAATAGTAATTCAAATCACCTGATCGGCAATTTTTTTTTGGAGGTCCAATTCGTTTTCATATTTTGACCAATGGTCCTTGGGGAAAATTGTTCCTTATCACCAGCCGGTCCTGCATTTTCGCTATCGGCAACGAAAACTCAGAATCGGCTAGTGATAAGAAACAACTTTCCCATTGGTCGAAATACGAAAAAGAATTTGGACCTCCCATAGTAACTGAAATCAGCTGATCGGCGGCGATGGGAGGTCCAAAATTTTTTTTCGCATTTTGACCAAATGTCTTTGGGGAAAATTGTTCCTTAACACCAGCCGGTCCTGCATTTTCGCTATCGGTAACTAGTAAAATTTCCCATATAAAATTATCAACAGAAGTTGATGCATGTCAGGTCATCAGGTGGGGCGTGCTTCAACTCATCCTCCATACTCGCTTGACGAGACAAGTTATAATTTAGCGAGATAAATTATAATGCCTTACAAAAAATTATATAATATTCATTTTGTAAGGACTAATTTTACCTTTTCTTCTATGTTTAATACTCTTGCCACACTGAATAAATCGTTTGTTACAGACGTATTAGGCCATTGATGATGATGAATACTTTTCGAAAAGACATGTTTTGGCCTAAAAAAATGGAAGGAAAAGGTGGAGCGAAAAGTACCGGGCAGGATTGTGTTCAATGGGATCTTAAGTCTAAAAAAACTGGTACTTAACTGAAGCAAAGGATTTGCCGTTAGACATGCTTAAAATGAACTCGGGCTGCCAGTCCATAACGTATTTAAAATTAGCAAATAATTGGGTAAAATCACGGTAAAATACCTTGCGCTTGAGCGGCTAACAGTAGTTGGTGCATATTAGGAGGGGCTTGCTTCAATTCCATTTATTTGACGCTCTGCCTACCACGCAAGGGATAAAGGCGTGATGTATGTATGTAAGTGGGTAAAATACCTTGCGCTTGAGCGGCTAACAGTAGTTGGTGCATATTAGGAGGGGCTTGCTTCAATTCCATTTATTTGACGCTCTGCCTACCACGCAAGGGATAAAGGCGTGATGTATGTATGTAAGTGGGTAAAATACCTTGCGCTTGCGCTGCTAAATAGTTGGTGCATATAAGGAAGGGCTTGCTTCAATTCCATTTATTTCATTCTCTGCCTACCACGCAAGGGATAAAGGCGTGATGTATGTATGTAAGTGGGTAAAATACCTTGCGCTTGGGCAGCTAACAGTAGTTGGTGCATGTCAGGTGGGGCGTGCTTCAACTCATCCTCCATACTCGCTTGACGAGACAGGTTATAATTTAGCGAGATAGATTATAATCCAGTGTTGTTTAATTTTTCACTGACATAAACAGGGAGTAATAGAAAGGGTATAACAAGCCGAAAAGAGGTCAAGGTACTTATGAAAATAAACATCTTTCCCATGGGTCGAAATATGAAAAAAATGGGCCTCCAATACAAAATTGCCGATCAGCTGATTGATTTACTATGGGAGGACCAATTTTTTTTTCATATTTCGACCCATGTTCCATAGGGAAAGTTGTTCAGTTTCATGAGTACCTTGACCTCCTTTCGGCTTGTTAAAACCTTTCTATTACTCCCGGCATACTCTAAGAATATTATCAAATAATTGGGTAAAATACCTTGCGCTTGAGCGGCTAACAAAAGTTGGTGCATGTCAGGTGGGGCGTGCTTCAACTCATCCTCCATACTCGCTTCACGAGACAGGTTATAATATAGCGAGATAGATTATAATCCAGCGTTGTTTGTAATTTTACGCTGACATATATAGGGTTACTTTTTAGTCAGTGCGCAAAGTTTGCAGGGTGTTTCTACTCGTGATTATGATCAATTTTTACTATGAGACCAGCAGCAAATTCGCAAAAAAATATGGCTACCTACTCGGCAAAAATGTGTGTAATAACCAAAATACTTTTTTAGATTTCTCAGGTGGCCCTATAGTAAAAGTTGTTCAGAATCACTAGTAGAAACATCCTGCAAAGTCCTGCGCAATGACAAAAAAATAACTCTGTGTACTCTAAGAATATCTATTATCAAATAAGTTGGTAAAATACCTTGCGCTTGAGCAGCTAACAGTAGTTGGTGCATATCAGGTGGGGCGTGCTTCAACTCATCCTCCATACTCGCTTGACGAGACAGGTTATAATTTAGCGAGATGGATTATAATCCAGCGTTGTTTGTAATTTTACGCTGACATATACAGGATGTAAGGGACGGTGTACCGAAAACTTTGCAGGCATGATCAGACCATCAAACTGAACAACTTTTACTATGGAGCCAATGGTGAAAAACGAATAACATTTTCTGACCTCCCATACAAAATTCACGATCAGCTGACTTACTTTGTATGGGAAGCAAAAAAAGATTTTTCGTTTACCACCATATATTCCATGGAGAAAGTTGTTCAGTTTCATGGTCTGATCATGCCTGCAAAGTTTTCGATACACTGTTTCTTACACCCTGTATACGTTAAGAATAAAATACCTTGCGCTTGAGCGGCTAACAGAAGTTGGTGCATGTCAGGTGGGGCGTGCTTCAATTCATCCTCCATACTCGCTTGACGAGACAGATTATAATTTAGCGAGATAAATTATAATGCCTTACAAAAAATTATATGATATTCATTTTGTAGAGAATTTTGTAAGGACTAAATTTACCTTTTCTTCTATGTTCAATACTTTTAGAAAAAGACATGACTTAGGACACGTTTTGGCCAAAAAAGGAGGGAAGGGAAAGGTGGAGCGAAAAGTACCGGTATATGTAAAATTAGCAAATAATTGGGTAAAATCACGGTAAAATACCTTGCGCTTGAGCAGCTAACAGTAGTTGATGCATGTCAGGTGGGGCGTGCTTCAACTCATCCTCCATACTCGCTTGACGTGATAAGTTCGCTGCTCGCAGTTCACCCATTACATCTGTAAAAGAATATTTATAAAATAAATAAACAATGTTTATTAAGATTGTGGCACCTACTATATGCCGGCGTAGCCAGCCTTAAGTGACTTGCGTTGAGATTGTGGCGTCTACTATATGCCGGCGTAGCCAGCCTTAAGTGACTTGCGTTGAGATTGTGGCGTCTACTATATGCCGGCGTAGCCAGCCTTAAGTGACTTGCGTTGAGATTGTGGCGTCTACTATATGCCGGCGTAGCCAGCCTTAAGTGACTTGCGTTGAGATTGTGGCGTCTACTATATGCCGGCGTAGCCAGCCTTAAGTGACTTGCGTTGAGATTGTGGCGTCTACTATATGCCGGCGTAGCCAGCCTTAAGTGACTTGCGTTGAGATTGTGGCACCTACTATATGCCGGCGTAGCCGACCTTGGGTGATTTGCGTTGATATTGTTGTACCCGCTATTTAAACGTAGTTACAGTTATTGTCTGTTCAATACGATCCCGAACTATCGATAGTATCAATTGGTCGCTTGTGCCGGGTTTTTCGAATGAAAACTGTTTCGGTAACACTACTTAGAACCTTCCTAACCTCTATATCACTTACCACCTGCGAGCGCATCAGCGCCGACTTGATCAGGAGTAGAAGTGGTCGCCATGGCCGAAACCGGCCGGAGAGATCATCATCATCATTCATCACTTACTCATTTGTCCTAAGGTATCAGCAATAGCTAGTTCAGCCATCTGATCGAAGTTCTCGGGAGCTATTTCCAGTAGGTCAGCCACTACGGCGCTTTTGGCCCACTCTAGAACTTTCCTACCCTGTATATCACTCACCCATTTGCCCCAGTGTATCAGCTATGGCCAGTTCAGCCATCTGATCGAAATTCTCGGGAGCTATTCCCAGTAGGTCAGCCACCACGGCGCTTTTGGCTCGCAACGCTCGAGTGATGCCTTCATCCAAGCGACGTAGACGCTCTGTGGAGAAACAAAGGGGTGAGTAAGTAAGTGAGTTAAAACACTTTATTGCACAAAAATAAAGAGACAGAGTACAAGAACATTAAGGGGTAGTTTACAAGAACAGGCAGATGTAATAAAGACCGACTGCGGTCATTTCAAAGTAGTATCTTACGATAAAAATCCGCCATCTTGAATTTATGAAGTTTTAATATAATCACTTGCGCTGCTGTGATGATTCTAACAAGACTTTACATATCAAGATTCAACCGGCCGACTGGGCGGTAGGCCGTGAAAACGAATTTCCCTTTAGGCAC